GGCTGGGAAGCAGCCTCCAGTGTGAGTTACAGCACAGTGCCGCGATTTCCCCACAAGCCAGGACACGCAGAGTCCACTGCGTTTAAGGAAATAAACACACTAGTTACGTCCCGCGTCGTGTGATTCCAGTCCATTTTATCTGATGCGGAAGAACGTGGTGTTAACGGTGGGTAGAGCGCCAGCCTGCCGTGGAGAGCGGGAGCCTTGAGGACAAGCCTGCGGTGCGAGCGCCGCCTCCCAGGCACCGTCCTTCCGGTGTGCAGGGCCGCTGGCGGCAGGCACAGCTCGCCTTTCCCTTGCTAGGCTAGCCTCCGCACACCCCCGTGGGCCCCGGACGCTCCCGGCGGTTAACAAGGTTTCCTTCCCCATCCAGTCCATCAGAGCCAGCTGGGGAGCACTCGGGCCTTGCCTGCTCCACACAAACATGACTGGAAGCAGGACTGGATTATGTTGAGAACATGTATAATAGAGTGACGGCAAAATCTTTTTCTCTATTTTCACTCCTTGCCTTGTAACTTCATACTTCTCATGGACAGCTGGAGTCTTAGCAGGCACCACTGGCTCACACCCTTAATCCTCAAGAAGCTGAGATCTACCAGATGGGTAGACAAATCCTCAAGATTCTTATGTCCAGTTAATCTGCAAAAATCTGGAAAATGGTGTTCAGCTTTGAGCAAAAACTGCCCATGAGTTTGTCCCTGAGTTCAACATTCAGTAACTAGAAAACAGAGAACAAAAAGTAGCCAAGAGCTGCTGGAATCTTTACCAGTTCTGGTAGTGCACACCTGCAGTCCAGCACTTTGGAGTTTGAGGCCAGACTGGGCTACCTAGTCTCAACCTCAATTTAAAAAAAAAAAGTGTAACCCATGTCCCCAGCCTCTGACCTGGCCTGACACTGAGCCTTTCTTTGGTCAGTAGGGTGCAGAAGTGGCCTTGTGCCCGGTCAGAGTATGGGCCTCACATGGCCTTGGAGTCCCCACTTCTTTTCTTTTGGATGGTCATGGGTCTTGAACTCTGGGCCTGAGCGCTGTCCCTCAGTTCTTCAGCTCAAGACCAGCACTCTACCGCTTGAGCCACAGCGCCACTTCGGGTTTTCTGGTGATTAATTGGAGATAAGAGTCTCAGTCTCCAGAGTAGCTAGGCTGACAGGCAAGAGCCACCGGCGCCCGGCTCAAAGCACTTTAAATGGCATAACCATGCAAGCTGATTTTTTTTTTAAAGCATTTAGTTACTTTCACCAAGAGTTTAATGACCACAGGCGTATTTCGTGTCTACAGTTGTTCCTCCTGGGGCTGGAACCCAGACCTCCACCCCTCAGCGGCAAGACATCAGACACGTAGTATGGCCACATCAAAGTAAGATATTCAGGTGGGCATGGTGGCCCAGGGCTGCAGCCCGCGAGGCTGGGACAGGTGAGCTCCAAGTGTAGGTCAGCCGGGAGAAAGCAAAGCTGCCCCGCGCGCGCGCGCCGTCAGGGCCCCGGCTGCCCCGCACCCCCGGGGCCAAGGAG